CAGCAATTTGTGGACCAAGGAAAGACAATAATGGACAAGGGGAAACTTATCTAAAACGTATCTAGAGAAAGAAGAGAGGCAGAGAAAGGCAAGAGAAAAAGGAATTGGGTGCTAAGTAATGGCCAGCATCCTAGAAAGTAATGGCACCCAGGATACTGGGCTCAGCGCTTTTCACTTCTGCACACACCCATAAAAGAAGTTTCTGAATGGAATTAAAACACCTGACTTACAAAATTATTGCATTAGTAGTCCTCCTAGCACATAAAATGACATAGGCTAGTTGACGGCTTGGGATGCAGGGAGGAACTTAATTGTCTAGGAGAGTCTGATAAACCTGGACTTAAAACTGTAGCAGTCTAGTTTATCACAGGTAGGTGTTACAGTGAGGTCAATCCTGCTAATTGGTTCCAATTTTTTTCTGAGAAAAACAGCTTCCCAGGATACACATAAAGGGAGGCTCTTGTGGTCGAGTAAGGTTGGGGTGTGCTCAGCTCCATCCTTCCACTCTCGGAACCACAGAGCACGGTGCAGTCCTGCACGGTGCCTTGTCTCAGCTGTGTCACGTAGCAGTACTTCCAACAGCCAGCCAGAGAGCCCTGGTAATCTGTCCTGACACCCTTTCACAGCGTGCAGCCCCTGAGTGTCCTGTGAAGTATGTCCTGAGAATACCTAACTAGTGTATGAATGGAACTTCTGAAAAAAACAAGTCACTTAAAATGCACTACAGTCTCATATATATGAAAATGTCTTTAGTTTTAGGGCTGAAGCATGATGCCTGCAACTTATTTACAAATGCTTTAGCCTAAAAAGCATATATGTTTAGTGTACCTATATCTGTATGAACACATATACACGTACACAATGCACACACATGTAGCACAATGTCCACAACAGAGGAATTGTTACAGTGAAGGATATGATTTGTACACTTTGGGACTATTTTTCTGGGATTGAAAACTTATAATTAATAGATAAAATGAGGCAAACACAAACATCAGCTGCTTTGGTTATTTTGGGTCATAAGGGTGCTGCCATATGGAAAAGTCAAAGTGAGAAAAAAAATTAAGATAAAAAAAGGGATCAGGGAAATGCCCTGTTGCTGCAGACAGCCATATACCTAGAGAAGGTGTTGCAGGTCACTCATGGCATCGCTTTGCCAGTCTTGTAGGATTTATGACTCCATATTCAGTTCAAGAGTTTTGACTGCCGGCCCTTCAGCCAGGCAGTGGGACTATTGCCCAGAACATCATCAGGGTGTTGTTCTGATTCCTGTCCAGTGTCCTCCAAACCCCAGCAGGACACAGACAAACTTGCCAACCGAAACTGTGCTACGTAGCCCATAGGCATGGGAGCCATTCTGAAAAGGGGCTCTTAAGGATTCTCTGAGGCCCCAACAGGTCAGCAGACTGGAGCCAACACCTTGAAATGTGTTGCAGCCAGGACTGGCCTGACCTTGATCTTCCTTCGGCTGGCTATTAATCCCCAACTTGCGGCTGGCTCTGGGACGCAAAGTGTAATAGATTGCGTGTCATCCTGCATGCTTCCAGGGCACAGACATTGGCATGCAGTATTTTCTCAATAACTTCTCAAGGACTTCAGTGAAGGTTGCAGCATGCGGAGGTGGATGGGTTTCCCAGTCTTCATATTCTGCCTTGATATATCATTAGCTGAAACAATATTGCAAACATTGCTATTGCCTTAAGGGAGAGAGAAAAGTCATTGAGATTCCTGCCGTTTCTGAGATGCTTCTTTTAATAATAAAACTGTTGCTAATATGCTCTCTCAATAATGCCTTTGCAGACCTGCTTCCCCTTTGGAAAGTTTTTGCTTTTCCTGTTCATTTTCCTCCTTCGTTTTTATTGTTTAACCTTCACAGTAGGTTATAAAAATCGTGAAATTGGATTTGTTCATATTGCTGATAAAGGTTTTAACAGTAAGGGTGCCTACCTCTTTCACTAAGCTTTTCCTAGTACACATTAAAATTGCCACCATTCTTGTAATATTTTGATATTCTGCCAGTTATTATATTATAAATATTTCTATAACATTCATACAAGGCTCCATGTTGCATTTATGATATATGTAATTATTATATTTGCTAATAATAATGTGATATTCATTGGCATGAATATCTTGCATATTAAGGCACTGAAGCTAAAAAGAGGAATCAAGAAATAGTAGATTAACACCAGTACAAACATATATTTATATTTTACCTCTGTGTCTCACAGAAAGCTAAATATTAATCTCTAAAGTGTAACAATTATAAAATATTTGCAAATAAATAATACAGTTACAAAATGACATTTTTATTGTGTTTTATATTTCACAAAGCATTGTCACCTACCATGGTAGTAAAGGTGGCTAAATAAATAACAACTCAATATATCTACAAAAACATTTTTTTAAATTACTGACACTAATGGAGCTGTGTGGGACTTTAGAATCTCTTGTCATTTTCTAATTATTTCTATCCTAATTCTTTGCAAGGACTATATGCATTTGGGAAGCTGAACATTTTCATATATAATGATTAAAATGCTCTATATTAATTTAAGATGCTACTGATGATAATAGCACACTTGTTTATTTAGTTATTTATGTCTTTATAATTTGCAGAGGGTGCATACACTCACTGGAGAGAGAAAGAGAGAGAGGGAAAGTGAGAGAACACCCCTTATGGGGCATAATTATGCCACAATTTCATCTCCTCCATTTCTTTCTTTGTCCTGAATTTTAGCCATGCATACAAATGCATCTGGGTTTTCCTTTTCTTCCTTTTTTTAAATTTCATTTTCTTTTATAAATTCAATCACATTATTTAACTTATAAAGTAAATATTCCATCATGTGAACATTTCTCCCTAGTTTAGTTGATAAAACTATAAATTATCTTCAACAGATAATACCACATTTCTTTGTCCCATTAATGCTTTGCCTCCCTATTTTTCTTCTAAATGTCCTTCCTCAGACCCTCCTCTTTCACACACACTATATCTGGTATTTACATCTATATACCATGTTTCTATATCCTTTAGTCAATTAGTTTCAGTCATGGAGTGCAGACACTCGGTATATATTAAGTGGGGACATACAAAGCCTCTCCTTCAAAGCCTGGCTTGCTTCACTCAGCAGTATATCTTCCATATTCATCCATTTCCTGTCAAAAGTCAGGTTTTTTTTTTTTTTTTAAGGCTGAATAGTATTCCATAGAGTATATGTGCCACAGTTTTTCTATCCATTCATCTGTTCATGGGCATTTGGGTTGTTTCCATGACTTACAAATTGTGAATAGTGCTGCAATAAACATCAATGTTCAAGCCCTTTTCTGATGAAGTATAACTTTTTTCAGTTTTATCTCAGTCTACCTGTTGTTCGTATATAGACATGCTATAGATTTCTGGATACTAATTTTGTATCCAGTGTGTTATTCAAGCCACTGGGTCAGGACTTGAACCTCATAGTCAGTCATGTGGGATCCAGTTGCCTTACCCACCACACCATTGACTGACCGAGTTATACTAAAATTTTAAACAAACTTTCATGCCATGACCTGTTCTCTTATCCCCATGTAGCAACAGTAAGGTAAAGATTAAATTTTTATTATTATTATTATTTTAGAATTATTTAAATTTATTTATTTATTTATTTAAATTTGACCAGGGAGTGACAGAGTGAGAGAGAGAAAGAGAGAGAGGGAAACTGAGAAAGCAAGCTGCCAGGTCCAGGACTCAAATTGTGGTCAGCCATGTAGGAATCCAGTGCCCTTAATCACCATACCACCTGCTGACCTAATGTGTTTTATTTTTTAAACACGAATATGAGCTACATGCCCAGAAAAAGGCAAGCATGTCATTCTCAGGGTGCTCAGATTTGGGGGTTCCTGAGAGCAAGAGACAAAGTTTGGAATTTACTGAAAAGTGTTTTTCCATTGGTCTACCCTCCCCCCCCCAAAATAAATAAAATTAAAAACTATTTAGTGGTTTTTCTTTTGAAATATACAAATTAAGAAAGGCTATTTTGGGGATCAGCAGGTGGCATGGTGGTGAAGGCATTGGAATCCCACAGGGCTGATTGGTTTAAGTCCCAGACCTGGCAGCTTGCCTTCTCACTTTCTCTCTCTCTCTGATCAAATTAAAAAAAATAATAAATAAGACAAAATAAAGTAATTCTTTTAAAAATAAGAAAGGCTATTATTTCACTGGTCATGCTTGTGAAGAAAATTAAGCTCTTTGAAGACATGGAAGCCTGAGACAGTACAAAAAGATTACCTTCATTTTCAGAATAACACTATCACTGTATGGTGACATTTAAAGGAAATGAGTAGAGATGTTTGATTATGCAATTGGTTTTTGTTCACCTTTCATTCCTGAAATGTATTATTTGAATGGTATTTGTCAAGTTAGACAAAATATTAATGAAATGCAAAGCACCCTTTCTTGCACTTGGTGGCTGGGTCTATGAAGCTCCTCAGGACTTAGGGCTCTTGTCTTATTCAGTTGGGAAGTCTTCACTGAAAACCCAGCACCCTGAGATCACATTATTCGATCATGAGAAATGGGCTGGTTTGTCTCCATACATAATATTTTAAGAAGACAAATCTAAAGAGTGCAAACCTGTGTACAGAAGCATGAAATAGAATTCAGGAGCAGTGGTCTCTAAATTTCAGTCGTCTCTACATTCCTGTTCTCTTTTAAAACCACAGCATGAAGAGTGCATTTCATTTCACTATGTTGCAAATACACTTGGCCAGTCCTCCTGGCAGCCAGTTGCTTACTTTGCTGAGTAAATCACAGGACTGTTGGCAAGAAAAAGAAACAATTTTTACTCTTTTGAGCATAAAATGAGATTTTCTAAATTAAATAGTTGTATGCCTATTGGAATATTTATTCCACTAATGTTTCAGAATGTTCCTGAGGAGGTACTTTTAACATGTGCTTCTAACAAGCTTTTAATTTGGTTTCCACATTGACGGGCTACTTCCTCTGCTCTTTTTCCCAGCAGGTAGACCAACCTACAATAGCTTCTATGTTTATTGCAAAGGTCCCTGTCAAAGAGTGCAGCCAGGAAAACTCCGGGTCCAGTGCAGCACCTGCAGACAAGCTACACTCACCCTGGCTCAGGTAAGGAGCGGCAGTGTCTGCACAAGACTGCCGAGAAAAAAGAATACTGGTTAACAGAGAAACCTTGCAGTGTTTCAGTCATATATCACCCATCACTGAAAATAAAAGCAAAAAACACTCTTCCATGTACATGGGATTGTCTAGGATAACCAAAGTTCATTTAAAAATATACCTTTGTCTTCTGGATATTTTTCTACTCCATAAAGTTTAAAAATACACGATCTTCCCCCATTTCTTGAATCCAAATAACAAACACAGGTTGGGCCTTGATGAAGTTCAGAAAAGACGATGAAGGAGCCTTATAGGCTACTTGAAGTGTTTCACTTCTTGATCTGTGAAATGGTAGCATGGCATTATGTGTATGTGCCCAAATTCACTGCATCATTCATTTCAGATGGCTGCATTTAATGTTGCTAAATGTAAGTTGTCTCAATAAAAAGAGTTAAAAGAAAGTTGTGCATCAGTAAGCCGTGTGCTCAGAGAGCAGGTGTCATAAACTACGGGTGTCGTGGTCAAGGCTTGTTCTCATACAGCCCACGGGCTGCGAGTGTTTTTTACATTCTTTCATGTTTGAGAAAAGTCAAAAGCAGTAACATTGTGTGACCTATGAAAATGATAAGAAATTCAGATTTTAGTGTCCATAAATAAAGTTTTATTGGAATAAAAGCCTACTCATTTCCATACAGGTGAACCTGGGCTGCTTTGCGCCTTGAAGGCAGAGATGAGGGATGAACGCACACTGGGTGGCCTGAGAAGTCTACAGAAGAGGCCCCATGGCACTGTAGACAGGGCTTGCTGATCCCATGTAACACACAGGGACAGTTAATGCGTGGTCCAACGTGGTGGCTGTGTAAGATGGGGCTGGATGTGATGTGGATGTGACAGTGGGTGGGGCACGGAGAGTGCCTGGTCATCTCGACTGTGAGAGCTCAGACCGGGTATAAACGAGCAGAGTGCAGGAGCGCTCAGCACTCCAGTGGAGACAACTACTCTGGTTTCCAAGTGGGGACTCTGATGATGGCTAGAGCGTTCTCATTTTATTCTGCTGGCAGTGGGAGCCAAGGCAAAACTCATACAAAGGTGATGTGTACAACAAAGTTTTAGAACCGTTAGTGCTATTACAGTTGTCATTGGCACTGGTGACAGAGCAAAGGCAAAGAAGCTGCTTAGGAAACATTTCATGGCTCCTGTTGACTGAGCGCTTGGATCAAGGTGGAAGCCTGTAAGATACGGACAGTGGGTGCTGTTAGAGAACTTGAAAAAACCTGATAAAGGAGAAATTATGGGTGCATTGCTTTGTGCCTGAAAAATGGCAGTTAGTAAACCATGTGATTCAATAAGTCACTATGATACATTTCAGCTAAATAGGGAAATTCACCTACTAAGCCAAATCAGTGAACGATGTGGTTTGTCCTGGCCAATTGGAGTGGATGTCTTTAGCAGGGTGACAGTGAACCATGCTTCTGCTTGTCAAACAAGCTATATCAAAGTCCCACAGCAGTTTTTCTCTAGCCCTCTCGTCCACCTTTTCCAATGCAAACACAGTCTCTTCTGATCATATCTGCATTGAGTCCTGATGGCTTCAGATGGTGATGGTGATGCCCTGGTATTTTAATAAAAGCAGCAGTAACAAACTATACTGAACTCTAAGCTAGATTTTTTTCATACATTATCTCATTTAATTATTTCATAACAACACCCTGAGTTAAGTATTATTACTTAGATTTCAGAAGAATGAGGCTTAAAGAAATTAAGGCATTTGGCGCCGAGCGCGCGAGGCAGCGGCGGGCGGAGTAGGCCCTGCGCGGCCCACCCGGGCCGGCTGCGGGTCTCCCGCCACCCCCGGGGACCCCACGCTGAGCGAGCGAGGCTGGGGGCGGGGGCAGGAGGGCCCGGGGGGCC